ATTTTTTTATCACCTGATTGATAGTGGTATTAATATGGTTCATTGCGGTGTAGTCTGTTAAAAATACTGCTTGGTCTTTTGGTTGATTGAATTCTAATGCCGTCCTAATTCTATTGGCTATAATTTTTGTAAATAGCTGTAGAAAATGGACAGTAAGCTGATCGGCCTGTAATTTTTCAAGTCCTTGATGTCTTCTTGACGACCCAAAGTTCTTGACCACACGAAGATTCTTAGCACCCTCCGCTTCCTACGATTTTTTATGGTATAATGCCTCGATAACAACTACTCACATTCACATATACCTGCACGCTTTTTGTTTTAAAATGATGTGCACTTGATATGGAATGACCCATGTGTGTATAAATAAAGACATAGATTAAAAGCCTAACTTTTATCATATAAATACTACAATGAATGAGCAAAAAACTATTTTGCTCTATCTGTAAATACTGAGACTGAGGAGCTAGCAAAAGTATATGCCTCACTCTATATCTGACAGCCCATTAAGTTGCTTCTGAATGCAAAAACTTTCTACCTGCTTAAAAATTTGCATTTGATGTCATGTTCGCTGCAGTGCCTGCTGGTGAACGAACTTACTGCAAAAAAAAAAATAGAAGTCTGGAGAACTTTTTAATACAAAATACATGTTTTGGTCTGTGATATGTTCTGAACAATCCTCCTTTTTTTTAAAATTAAATGATAGGTAGTATAGATACAAATAAAATAAACTGTGATTCACCCATTTGTTCACTGAAGTTTTGTAGTTGAGGAAATCTTCAGCCTTGTCTCAGATTAATATCTTTTTCATGCTGTTGCTCTAAAATTTGATCTAACCAGGAAGCTCGTAGGTTGCTGTGTCAAGGCGAATTAATCAACATCAAGGATGTGGACAATGAAAGTGCTGCATGATTATACTGTTTTTTTTTCTAGTTGACAGTTGTGACACACTGTTTAAAAACAAGAAATATGCAAAAAAAAAACACACACACATAGTGCGCAAGATGAGTCCATGATTTGTGTACACTACACATGTTTTTTTTTTGTGTGTGTGTGAATCTTTCTTTGTGTTCTAAAAACTCACTGCAAGTGTCATATATGGATAACAAACTAGCCCCTTCTGTGACCCGTCTTTTTTACCATATACTGATGTTCTACAACAGAAACTGCATAGATTGTGGTATTGTGCTGGAAATTGGTGGACGAGAATCTTTCCCTTTGGTGGCTACCTCGTAGACTTTCACAGAATTGATTATCCGAGCGCACAGATGCTTTTATACTGGAGCTTGATGTGGGAGAGTTTATGTAACCTACTTCAAAAAAAAGCAGCACAAAGACACCAGAGATTGCATTTCTTATGCAATCTCAAGACAGAGATTAAAGTTTTTATTTATCCAATACTTATAGCATTATCAGAGGCCTTATAATGAGGGTGCATATAATATAAGCAGTACTTCACATCACTTCTAAACAGTAGAGGTAAAAAAAAGTTGGTACAATAATTGATAAATTACATACACAGCCAGTATGCAGAGAAACAAATAGCAGGAAGTCATAGAGCATTAAGTTAACAAGGCATAAAATGTATCATTTGATATTTAATTAACCACAACAGCAAGTAATCTATTACATTCTTATATTGTTCTAGAAAAAAACGACATTCTGAAGGATTCTGTATTGCAAAACATTTTGCGCTCCTTAAGTGAATGATCGCCCCATGTGGATACCTAATAAGGTTTAAGTAGTATTATACTGTTGCTAATTAATGTAAAAATATTATCCAAGAGTTTTAGATAAAGTTTCTTTCTGCAATCTTCTAGTTACTCTTTTATGGGTTGGAGGCATATTTATTCTTCATGTATAAATGCAGTTGTTTGTTCAAATAAAATTTAGGCAAAAGTTTGTGCCTACTTGTTGGAAATGTTTTCGTGTCCTCATGTTTTCATGCTACCTTTTCTTTCTTTTAAGCTTTTATGTGGGTCTGCTGATGCCAAATGCTTTAATGACACTTAGTTGCAATGCTTTGACTGCACTTGCAGTGAAAAGGGCCATGACACATTCGGCCACCATTTTGTGGTCTACAACAAAAAATAGAAGTAGATGGTCCATTAGGCATACCCATGTTTGAAAAGTAGTCTATAAAAGAATATTTCAGTATGAAACAAGTCCTAAAAGTCCCTGCCCACTGCCTGTAACCACCATTTTGCTTTGGCATGTATGACATCGTGCGCTGAATGGAGTGAAGCCGTCGTCTTCTACTGAAGTCACAGCTGCTGCAAATTGTTTAGTTTCAGTGCCAAGCCAAAGACAGCTAAAACATTGCGATGTCACATGCGGCTGACTATGGAACAATATTGTTCGCTGGCTGGCATGCAGATTCTCGTACAGCAAGCTGCTTGTTACATCACGGCTCGCGAGTGCACCAGTGTTGCTAAACTCTGAGGCCGTTGACGCGTTATAAACATATTTAAATATAAATGAAGTGCTTGACCGAGTGCACCGACATTTTGCGACCTTATTTGTGAATGCACAAGTATTAACCCACATAACACAACTTGAGATAAAAAATTTAGTGTCATGGCCTCTTTAAAAGAACTTGTTCATCTCATCATCAGCTTCACATTTTTTCTGTCTCTATTTATTTGGCACCCATCATAGATTGCTTTGCACACCCCTGGCTATATGCAGATGCTTTTACATTTACATGTTACACAGACAAAGCAACAACTCCAGTGTAGCTATGGTTTAGCAGCTTTATTATTGCAGTTACGAGACTACCTTTGTTAAAGAAATGCTGAAGAGAGCCATGTGTTAGCTTGGTCAGAGAATACACTTCAGCTATTGAAAATTCAATCAGTCTTATAGTGAGAAGAGGATTTACAAGTCTGATTTTGGGACATCAAACCCCACATTTCAATCAATCAATCAAGGGTTGACAAATCAGAAAAAAATATTAAAACAAACGAGACAATGACATAGCAACCTAGAAGTACCCACACTAGCTGCCTGTAATGTTATAGATACTTTGGCAACATCTTCTTCACTGTAATGAATCATTAATTAAGAAAGCTAAGTGAACACACATAACAACATTCTAGGAAACACACGTGACCATGGTGTTGTTTTTTGTCAGGACCACAACTAGCTTGATGACCTCTGGCTGTCAGTGAGGTGCCGTAAGATTAAAAATCGAAGAGTCCCACTTTTTTGAGAAAAAAAAGGTTTTTTTGTCTTTGCACCTCAATGTAGGCTTGTCAGGCTCAATTTTTTTGCTGGATTTAGATTTTATATTGGTTTTTCATGTTTTTTTTAAACATATCAAAGAGGTTTTACTGTACTGGGTGTTTTATAAAATTCTTGCATATAGGGAAGGCAAAATAAATTGCTGAAAGGTTTCATAATTTTACATAGAAGTTGAGATAAGTTATTTCTTCTGGATTACCTTTGCAACAAAATATATTTGAAAACAACTTTAGACAGTGATAAGGCTAGTAGTTATGCAAATTAAACTAATCAATGTTTATATTAAAAAAACCATGCAGTTGATGACAACGGACAACTTGGAAATGCAGCGTCTCAGGAGCATCAAAAGGATGCACAAAGTTGTGGCAGATAATTTTTAGAGCGTAAAACAAAAAATTACACCATCTTCTGCTAAAGGGAACCATGTGTAGATGCGAAGCAACGGGCGCTAACACTTACACTAGCAGCAGCGTTGTCGCTGGTGCTCATCGCAATGTTGCGCAGAAGAGAAACCTGGGGAGGCGCAAAGCACACAGTGATGGACCGGCATTTCCTACTGGAACATGCCGATCTCTGTTAATGAGCAATGAGAGACAGAAGACACTTATTGAACACAGAGACCCGCCGTCTACTTTTCGTTAATGCGCACGCTGCGAATTTTCATTGTTCAACAATGCACAGGAGAAATCTCCCATGGGCACTACCATGGAGGTCAAGCTCCAGTGCCTGTATACATGGGTTGGCCAAAGAATGGTTGTGCAGCGTGAGCAGTCAGTGTTTTTAATCAAGAATCTCGCTAGCAGATGCTGCTTGCTTCGGTGTTGTGAGGCGAGAGACGGAGGAGCATAGGAGAGGAGGGAGGGGGAGGAGAACGCATGTGCAGTGAGGGTGGTCACAGAGCACTCCAGATTGAGTTCGATTCTGGGAAGCTTTGCATCTAAAAGGCAGCTTCACTGTCAAAACCAAAATTCAAAATTCCACTGCCAGAGTGCCTAGCTGCCTTGCCTTTAGCAGATGGGCATGAGTGATGTGACTGCTTGCACATCACCTTGAGTTAAGCATGAATCGGGCAATTTTACTAAGTTGCGATCTTACTTGATCATACTCACCCAGCATTCATTAATGAACAGTTGTGTAACTCATGGGAATCTGCTAAAGAACTCAGCAGTTGCTGTTTGACTGTTCAGTTTCACTTTTCTGTTTGAAATTAGACTAGATTGATTGTATGTATAGATCGATGTATGGTAGAACTTGGCAGCCTGAGCTTTCTCTTGTTGTTGTGATGAGCATCTTGTGTAATATACTTCAATTTGTCCTTTTGGGTCAATTGTCTGGCTGTTTTGGTTAAAAAGTTATTATTCTGGTTAGCATAATATTTTCGTATCATTGTTCCTTTGTGACATCCTGTACCCTACTGTGATTAAAAAACCCAAAGGAAATAATTTGATTTTATTACCAATTATGAAAATTTCTAATGCATTTCCTAAAACCCCTTTTATGTTTTAATGCCAATCATACTGCAAGAGTTTTGTCAAGACTAAACTTTCAGCAGACAAAGTTTTACTAGTGCCTCAAGAGGATATAAGCTTCAGAAACTTAGTTCGTATAAGCAGAATTTATGTTTTTGGATGGCTACAAGTTTGGAACTGCCTGCCACTATGTTTTACATTATTCATCACTTCTCAGGTCTTGTACATCTGCTTTGCCTGTGGTGTACTAAGCTGGCATAACTGTGGTTGTCTGTGCTCATGTTTTTGCAGGGGGCACCATCCCTGCGTGTCTTGCAGGTTTCCAGAGTTTGGAAGGTACACGCGTTAGCCTTTATATCAACGTACTCATTCCGTAGAGAGCTTTCTTGGGTATCTGCTTGCGGGCATTATCTAGAGACTGTTGCATCTTGTTCTTGCTGCATGTGCCAACAGCCTGTTAGTGAGCATCATTGCACAAATGCATGTCACTGTATGCTTGAAGATTGTAGTATATTTTTGTTTTCTTGCTCACGCTCTGCTGCACCAGCATAAAAGCTGCGTTTTTTTGCAAATTCTTTCTTTACATAATTCATACATGTTAACCTATCCTGAATGCACATACTAACTTCATCATCTTTATTAACACTGATTTGTGCGGCTTGTCTCAGATATGTTCTGGACCTAGAAGCCAAGAAACTTACACATTACTTGGGATTGCTGCCTTGAACTTTTGATGGAAGCTGCCATAGTAAATATAAAAGGGTTGAAAGTTCAACCCAATGTTCTATGCTCCAGTACTTTTACCGCAGCGTTAAATAGCTTGTTTCGCTAAAATTTTGGCATTGGTTTTGGTGTCGACATCGGTGTTGGCATTTGTGTGGGCATTTCGGTTGTGATCGAAATATCACCATCTTATCCATGACCGAAAAATCGAGAAAGATGCAAAATAAAATAAATTAAAATTTTCGGGTCTGAGTGAGGATCGAACCCAGGCCGTTGATGTGGCAAGCAAATGTTCTACCACAGAGCCATGAAATTTGTTGATACTGCTTTTGGGAAGGACATTGTATGATTGTCATCTAGTGGAAGGAGTCTCCTTGAAGGACCGTTGACTGCGAAAGTTTTGTTGGTGACAAGATTTGTAGCTTTGCATATGGTATTGCCAAAATTTAATCGTAAATACTCTAATGCATTGCATAATTTATGCTAGCATCTTTAATTCAAAATGATCTTGTGTCAATGCTAAACGCCTGCCTAAATACCATTAGAAACTAGCACCCCACGGCAGGACAGTGCCTGAGACTATGTGCGCTGAAGCTTCATTGACACTGAACATGCTGTTTTCAAATAGGGGGACCCGCTGGTACGGAAGAATTGCAATAAAAATGCTACCTTTAGTTATCAGAGTAGCGCATTTGTTTTCTAACGCCGTAGGCGACTATGCACTGTGGGGAAGCTGGTAAACAGGCCGCACCACCAAAAGCGGTCGCCCTCCACCTAGACTTTATGAAGTGACTGTCGTGCGCTCGGTAGCGAATAAACGGTAGTTACAAAATGGTGCTTTATTTGCTTTAGGTTCATGTCCTTAACCTTCGACAGCACAGTATTTGCGTGGATTCGGCGCCATTTTCGAAAAACATACTGAAATAATCAATGCTGTGGGCTTAGTGGGGCGCTTCTTGGATTTGCGGGACCTATATTTTGTGTTTGTGAGTTGTTGCTTATCTTTTATAGCTGGCGCCAGTTGACCACATGGCAGCAGCAGTGCGCGTTATTCAGCACTGCGCTATGCCTTTGCGCTTTGCGTTACCAGGCAGACTAAGAAAAGCTTTTGACCTCGCTTGGCACAGTCCCAAAAGCAGGTGTTTCTTCTTCTTTCCTCGGTCATTGACAAGCCAGGCATGTTGACTGGTAATTGGCGACTCGATTGGTGACAGGCTTAAGCAAGTCATCTGCTAAAATATAGTGCGGCTTCACCGTGTAACTATGGTTGCTAACCAGGCAAGATGGCAGACCTATGCGCTACTTGGGTCCCGTAGGGAGCATATACAGTTGCTCTAGAACGAATGAAACGATGCGGATGCTTTGAGCATGTCCCCCTCAGAAAAAAAAAAGAAAAACATTCTTGGTGTAAGGAGCCAAAACCATCTTTAGAGCAGCCCGAAAAGTGTTTGAAAGGGGTGATGAACAATATTCCTCGCTGGGTGCCGTTCGGGGTATTGTGGGTTCCCCACAAACGCCAACAACACTTGCTTGACCTCTTCAACGTCACGATGGGGGCCTGTGCCTATGTCAAACCCCAGCAAATGCCGATTGCACCTGAATATTTAGACAAGCATGTACCCTTACTTTAAAACCAAATTTTAAAAAAATCCTATAAGCAATGCTCGTGACTAATGATCGATCAGATGTGCCCCTGCATGCAGGACTCTCACTCAACACAAGCATCTCGAGTTTCCAAATGTGGTGTCAGGGGTCCTTTAATGCATCATATATTCTGTGGCAGAAACATAGAATTGCGCCAGGCGTAAAAAGATGTGAATTGATGGAAGAGTGAGTGCGGTAAAGGCCCGGCTATTACAAATCGGTCAGACATATTCAAAGGGACACTAAAGTCAAATAACAATTTATGTCAGAGTGAAATGTATGACGTTAAAATGACAATATTTTCAACAGTTAGCAGGGCCTTACTTAATGAGAAATTAGGGTAAATGCACAAGAACACATGCTCTACAATAAGACATTCGCAAAATAATTCCGATTACGTCAGAGGTACCATCTACAATTAATCACTAGTAATCAAAGTAGCTGCACTAAATAAGGAACGTTCCGTGTATCAAGAGATGTAATAAAATGATGCTTGTTCATGTCTGTTTGATTCATGGAAAAAAAAACTGCCAGATGTTACTATGAGGAATGACGCGAGTGGTTCAAAAGTTCAATTTTTACCTGGGTAAACTGGACAGGTGGGCCATCTAGCGGGGCTCAGTTGAACCAAGCATGTTTGCTATCTCGAAGCCCATGGCAGGAAATTGTTCAGTGACCATTGTTGCTGCTCTGGCTTTCGCTACTTTTGTCTTTCTGCTACTAGTGTTGGCGGCCGCGCAGTAAAGCCGGGTAATGTTGTGCACAGCAGCAGTTACGTGACATGCTCTGCTTGAGGCAGGTAATTTGATGTGCACTAACCCATCGCGGACCACTAAAACGTGATTTTTTTATAAAATAAGCAGTTCTATGGCACAAAAGTAACACTACAAGGTTTATGGACTGCTATTTGAACAATAAACGTCGACTTAATAGTTACTTGTACTGTCTCTTTAATCATTGTCATCAGCAGCAGAATCATCAACAAAGTGAACAGCTGCATAGGTTTACATGTTGCTCTATGGACGTGTAGTGGGCTCTTGGCTGATTCGCAAATGGAATAATTATGGCATGTGGACACTTAACTCTTTTGCTTCCACTTGAAAAGGGGCCATTTTGCTAGGTGTAAAGAAGCAATTTTTGTCACTAGATAATAATGCCTCATTTACATTATTTGGAATCAAACTGTAGCTAAAATAATTTTCTATCCAATAACTTAAATGTATTATATATATTTATTATACACAATTAAGTAGAAAAAGTTTAAAATGAAAAATTTCTGCAGTAATTGTACAGTTAACACTTTAAGAAGGAGAACAATTTATAAAATAATGAGGTTGAATATAATTAGATATACTTGTGTTGCAAAGTGATTGTACAAGTCTCAAGAATTATTGCCAAAAACTTTTTTCACAAAAAAGAAAGTTAGGGGGGGTGCTGTCAAGAAGGTTAGCCTGTGCAGCTTGCCATCGCAGACTGGGTCGGTCTGCTCTGAGCCCGTGACACCTAGAAAGGCAAGGAACGAACGAAAATGGCTCCTGCGCATAATATGCAAAGAAACCAGACCTGAAAATAACTCTGTGGTATTCCACTCAATGGTTTCCATGTAAATGAGGATTCCAATGCACGTCATCACTTCATCGGGAGTGAAGTTCCTCCATGAACTGCCCCTTTCCGCATATGTCTGCCTCTCTAAAACAAATATCCAGGCATACTTGTTGGTGTAGTCGCTGATCATGCTGGTCAGCTGTGCAGTGAAAAACAGCTGGATGAAATTGGCGACCTGGAAGAAGCGGCGTGAGTTACTCTGGAGTGCACCTCTGACTTCGACTCCCGGGTTTCGTCTCGAAAGCCTGCACACGCTAGACAGATGCTGGCCAGGAGTCATGTCCGTAGAATGTTGAGACTCTCAAAATCAGTAAAATTACTGTGAGTACACACTCTGCCGCTCGTAACTATTAATTAGACAACAATATGTGCCCCATACATACAGTTGGCACTCACTCACTGAATTTTGTGGCTTGACGCATTCTCGTCATCGGGGCTGAAGTTTGATGCGTCAAAATTTTCTCCAGACTCACTGCTGCTAATTTTATTCTCAAAAGCTGCTGTTGATGCGCTCGGTTCACAAGAAACGCATCGTCTTTTAGGAACATCCGCACGAGAAAAAGTGACGCCATGATCGGCGCGCACGCATAGCTACCTGAAACTTCTTGAGACGAGGAAAACACTTCCCTAAAACAAAAAACTACCAAAAAATCATGGATTTCGTTCTGCATTTCCCACTTTTTTATATGTATAGATGGCGTTAGGTGCCCATAAATTCCGTGAGCGCACCAGAATTTAAACTTGAAAATGCATTGTTCAAATTGAATGATTTGAAGAGGCACAGTAGCAAAAGAGTTAAATACTGTGCTTGCAATAGGTATTCATTGCTACTTTGAAACAGCCAATGAGCACGGTCGTTCATTTCCTTGCGGCACCGTTGAGGCATGCACCAAGGACTGAAGCAGGTTAGCAGTTTAGGAGGGGATGCGCACGTAATCACAATTACGCTATCACAACCTACTCTCAAGTGGCGAAGCTCAAGTGTCCTCCAAATTTTTTATGGCTTCTACACTCAAGGAACATATGTTGACTATGATACATACTCCTCTGCTTGTTGAGCTTTATTCAACAAATTTCATTATTTGATGGTGGTTTGAAGAATGGACAAACAAACAACATCCTTTCTTTCACCACTTTTGGCTTTTGTCTCTTAGTTGCAGCCCATACACAAAAGATGTCGCAGTTAGGTGACTCCAGACTAATTCTGTTCAACTTGATTATGTAAATATGCTCTACACCCTTTTGCATTCTTATTTTACGTGCATTCTGCTCTAGGCAAAAAGCATTCACTTATGAATACAATGTCACAAAATTCTGCTTCCTGCCAAACACATGAAGACCCTATTTGTCTTCATATTTACATC